TCAGAAGCGTTCTGAGCTTGCATGCAAGAGTAGAAAGCATGCAGGTGATCATCGGGATCCTTCGTCCCGTCATAAGTCTCCAATTGTGGTATTTTGAAGCCAGCATGATAGGGTTCTAGAGTAATGTTGGTGTTTAGAGGGTGAGGTATAGAGTCAGCAGCATGGTGTGGGGGTGGAGCACCTTGGTGTTTGGCTACTAGCTTCTCCAGGCTATCGAGGCGGCGAGTAACATCATCAGGGATGGGTTGTTGAGCGGGTGCTATGTGGGATTGACCCTGAGATTCGCTAATAGCGGGAGCAAGTTGAACCGGTTGAGGATTCTGTTGTGGAGCTGGGGGTTGTTAAGCAGGGTTTAGTAAATTAATGAGGGGATCACCAGGATTATTTCTAGCTAAAAGCTGAGCCAGTACCAACTGAAAAACACCAAACTGCTGTTGCATGGCAGCAAGCTGAGTTGTCACCACATTTTGGTTGGCAGTGGAAGTTGAATTGTGAGCTGAGGTATGGGGTTGGTTTTCATCTCCTCCTTCTGCATGATCAACAGGAGGGAATATGGTTGGGACCTGAGGTGGCAGCTGAGGTTGGATTTGAGGTGGGATTAGAGGTGGAAGGTTGTTGGGTGGTTGACCTTGCCCATGAGGCAGAGATGAATTACCAGCTCGGACTGATCGAGTGTGAACCATGATGAAAGAGCAACTAGAAAGCTTTTAGTTCGATTCCCACAGACGGCGCCAATGTAATTGCACCAAACTAGAAGTCCTTCTTCAGTCCGCGCTTCCACTTCGAGATGACCTGCAAAGCCCCGAGGTGGAACTCGGGGTAGACACTCCGATGCTTGTCAGCAATAATCAGGGCTACCTTTAGGGCGGAGATAAAAAGAGCTTAGGGTTGGTTTCAATTACCTTTCTGAGGTGGCCCCTGGGGGTATTTATAGGCCTTTGTGAGGTATCCACGTGGCTTGTTTAGCAGGACAATCGGAGCCTGACGTGTCTATCCAGACGATTATTTCGGGACCGGGAATTTGAGAGGTATTCAGATGCACGGATGTCCACCATACTTATTGTGCCACTCGTCATAAGGAATCAAGTGCGGGCATGCTTATTGTCATTGTCATGCAGCTATTTGAGCAAGGAGCTTTGGATTCATTTCTCACTTCGGTCATAAAGGAATTACTGTAGTAGTCCGAGGCTTGGCACCTCGGACCTGTCCTTACACCCTAGAAGTGAGGGAATGCACTTATAAGTGACGTTACACTTATACGTGACCTGACGTTACTGAACCCGAAACCCAAATGCACAAGAATTTAGTATTAATAAACTAAAAAATAGAAAATCATATATTTTTTTTAAAACAGTAATAAGATAGCACAGAAATAAGCACACCAAAAATCGCATCTTTTAGGGGTCTTCTCTATTTACATTAAGTATTATTTTACGAGACTATTGGCTTGAAAAAAGTCGTCTCTTTACAAAAGTCAAAGATATATGCAAAGTCAATAGGCAAAACCTACAGTTTGGCCTTCAACTTTTTGAATTTCAGGCATTTTACCCCTTTTCTTACAATATATGAGTTTTATCCTCTAAGTTTTGAGTTTAGGAAAATGAGACAATATTTAATGTTGAAGAATTATGTGCAACGTGTGCACCAATAGCCTTCGTCATACATGCACATGTCAACACCAACTCAAATTTTTTTGACACATCAACAAGTACTCTTTTTGAACAGTAATTTTACCACTAACAATTTTATCTTGTAGGTTCTATTTGTTGACTTATAATTTTAAAAAAAAAAGTCAAATGAGAAAAAAAAATAAATTTCCTAGTACAAATTAAAAAAGTTTTTTAAAGAGATTTAAAAATTAATATTATAAAGAATCAAAATATCTTGGCAATCAAAATTTTTGTACTTCTTATAAAATCTTATTATATTATAAAAATTATTACAATTATTAACAAATCTTGAATAAATACTTAATGAATCTTTTAATATTTTTAATAAATCCTTTAAAAATACTCATAAAATCTCAAATAAATATCCAGTAAGACTCTCTTAAGAGTTTAAAAACCATCTCAAACTCAAAAGACTAATATTTCAATTCAAATAATATATTACTAAACTTTAATTCAACTTGTAGATTTTAATTTAAATTCTAATTAAATTTGAAATTAAACTTTAATAATTACATATTATATATCAATTCTAAAAATTGCATTACTATCTTATTATTTTACTTACTATATTATAAAAGTAATTTAGTTCTTCAATATATCTCAAATAAATATTCAATGAACCTTTGAAAATTTTTCATAAATTCTTAATAAGTCTTTAATAAATATTAAATAAATACTAAATAAATATTTTAAAATTTTAAATAAATATCCAATAACTTTAAAAATTACTCAATTATATTTTACTATATGAGACTAGTGCATATAGTTTCCACTCAAAAAAAAAGAAAAATTATAGTCTCAACCTATATTTGAAAAGTAAAATCCCAATTCAAAATTTTGAAATCCACTTAATTAAATGTTTATACTTAGATTTAGAAACCAATTATATATTCAAATATAATTAGTTCCAAATCTAAATATCAACATTTAGTAAAATAGATTTTTAGATTTTGAATTAAGTTTTAATTAAATAAAACAACGTAATTTAAGGTTGTGATTCGAATTTATTTTGAAAGTCATGATTGATATATACTTCTTTCTTACTATATTATAAAAAGAGCTTAGTGAGTTTCAGTCCCGTTTCTTAAAAATAATTGGAGCCCTAACCTATATTTAAAAATTAAAATCTTAATTCAAAATTTAAAATTTTAATATATTAAATGTTGATATCTAAATTTGAAAATTGATTATATATTTTAATATAATAACTTTTTAAATTTAAATATTCATATTTAATAGGATGGATTTTTCAATTTTTAATTAAGTTTTAATTAAATAAAATGACATAGTTTAAGATTAAAACTCCATTTTATTTCCAAAGTTGGGACTGATATGCACTTTTCTCTTATAAAAATTATTAAAATCTTTAATAAAATATAATAAAAATCTAATAAAACTTTTAAAATCTTTAATAAATATGGAATAAATATCCAATAGGTCTTTTAAAATTTTAAATAAATACTCAATGAGTTTTTTATAATTCAAACTCAATTATATATTATTATCTTACTATATTATAATAATTATTAAAATCTTCAATTATATCTTGAATAATGCAGAATACCCAAATCTACCCACAAGTATAGTGGTAGGGATAGATGCACCTCTAAACAAAAAATGGGGATAAATTCACTCATAAAGTTTTTGACTTAAACAAATCACCTCAAATTTAACGTGTGAAGTCATCTGATGTTAGTAATCCGTTATTAGCGACATAATAAATTAATGGATTACTGATATCAGATCTCGTCATATATTAAATTTGAAGTGATTTGTCCAAGTCAAAAACTTTGTCGGTGGATTTGGTCTCATTTTTTGTTCGAGAGTGGATCCGTCCCTGTCGGTATATTTTGGAGGTGGATTTGGGTATTTTGCCCTCAAATAAATACCTACTACAGCTTATGCATTGGATATTGGTTTTTGATTTTTTATTCATGAATTTCGCTGTAGATTTTATTGTTGTAGTTTTTTGGAATTCAAGATCAACTGCATTCATCTGACTTTTTTTTTTTTAATTATAAGTGGGGCCCACAAGGTAAAATTATTGGTAGTAGAATTCTTAGTCACAAGGGGTCCAAGGTAAACTTGCCAATGTATCAAAAAAATCTAAGTTGGTGCTGACATGTGTATGTATGACAGAAGCCAACTATGCATGTATTGCATGTGATCTTTCAACGTTAAATATTGACTCATTTCTAGGTGTGTTCGCAGTGTGGTTTGATTCGGATTTTAATATTTTTTAAACCAATCCAATTTAATCGGTTAGTAAAATTTTTAAACCAATCCAATCCAATCCACCATTATATGATAACCAAATTAATTCAACTTCAATCGGATCAGTGTAGTTCAGTCGGATTGATCGGTTTTTAACACTATTAAATATATGAGATAATATAAAAATTTTTAACATTAAATAAAAAATATAACTATAAAATACATTTAGAATTAGGATTATAGTGCATAATTTAGAAAGAAAAGTAAATTAGAGAGTATAAGGATATTCTATTTTTATTTTTAAATTAAGTTAATGGAGTTATCATCTTATAAAATAAGAAAAAATTTAAAATATTACAAAAAAATATACTATATTATTTAATTAAATTATTGTGTAATTAGATTTTATTTTGTAATTGGACGATATGGACAGTTTAAAGGTAAAATTATAAACTAAACCAATTATATTGATTTTAAAATTTTATAATCCAAACTAATCCAATTTTATATCGGTTTGGTTTAGTTTGTTATTGGATTGGATCAGTTTAGGTCAGATTAATCGGATTAGATCAGATGTGAGCACCCCTACTCATTTCCCTAAAATCGAAAACTTGGAGGGCAAAAACTCATATATTGTAAGATAAGGGGTAAAATGTCTTAAACTCAAAAAGTTGAAGGGTAAATTGTGGGTTTTTGCCAAAGTCAAAATGGTGTTGCCACTGTTGTCACCCATGAGCCAAGACGTCGGCAAACCTACCCATCATGCTCGCTCACTTGAACCGTTCTGTACTTTCCTTGATATTATCACTTGTTTATACCATAAATTATAAAAATTTAATATCATGACACATATCAAAAATTTTAAAATTGATGAAAGAGATATAACCATGTTAGATATGCAATTCTGGACTAATGACGGATTAGCTGCCACATATGAAAAAAAGAAGTAAAAAGATAAGATTTTATCTTTTAATTACCTTTTTGAGTTAAATTGGGTCTATTTTAGTTGAGATTTAGGAGGTAGTTTTAGATATAGGTGTGAGTTATCAAATAAGGGGACAAGTTGTGAAATCTAGAAGGAAATTTGACTCTGTCAACTACTGAGATGTCCTACTTTTTTAAGAAACTATCCACAGTTTGTGTACTTGTAGAAAGTTGGAGGTTTGTAGTCGGAGAAGAGGAGAACAAAAGTAAATTTTTAAGCATTTAACACATGGCTAGCCCTTACACACAACTAGCAAATTTTCAAATTTTGAATTTCTCTACAATTGCTTACTTTTGCTTATAAATTTCAAATTTTAGCACAATTCATAGTAGATATAAGTTGGTTTTCATCATTCCTGTAGTCAATTTTGTTCATATATTCGTTTCAACAATTTCGTTTCATATAATGAATTTCAAGTTTTTGAATTTATGTAAGGTATTGTTCTTTTTCTTACTAGAATTAGTTTAATATTTATGATAAGTAACCTTTCATCAAATGATTACTTTTATAGTGTTTATGTTTCTTCTCAATTTTAAGTATGTTAATTTAATCCTAGTTCATATTTGTTTTAGTGTTAATTAGGGTTAAGTTTTTAAATCTACAATAGTTTAGTTTTTAGATCTTTCTGTAGATAGCAATTTAATCTAATAATGAACTTACTTAGTTTAATTAGGATGCATTTTTTATTTGCAAATTTATTTTAATTTACATGCTATTTAGCTTGTTTAGAATATATTAATTTTGACTCACAATAGTGTTTAAGTCTTGGAGTTGTCCGACACAAATTTAGTAACTCATTTTGCAAGAAAGCATCCCTTCCTTTTGCAAATTGTCTGTAAGTGTAGATTTTAATTTTAAATCAACATTCTTCCCATCATTTGTAAAGAAGTTGACCATGAAGAAGGAGAAGGATGTTAGGAAAATCTTTCTTTTTTGCTTTCAACAGAGTAAATGATATGCTCGTATTTAGATTTTGTATATGCAAGACTATTAGAGGATTTTTGAGCAAACATTATTTTTTTCTAATT